AGAGTGTTGTTTTGCTTATTCGGTTCTTCAGTTTAAGTGAATTTCTCACTATGCCACGTATCCCATTGTGTATCCTTTACATGGTAGGATAGATGTACTGTTAGAATACAAGTATGCTAGTTGACTAGGATAACTCCTTGCTATGCATGTGTAGTGTAGGACACTTAGTGTCATGGTATGTTAGACCGATAGGGTGTTTCTAGTTGATCGTATGATACTGTTTGGAGTTATGTTTAGTTGGGGTAACCGAGGAAGACCAGTTATCAGGATTATGTATGATTGACTAGCGAATGACTTAATTGAGAAGTGGTCAATGGTGGGGTAACTAGGGAAGGCTAGTTGGCAAGGGTATGTAATCTGCTAGTATATGTTATGTGTTTATGTTACATGATTATGTGGTATCGATAACATTGGTTATATGTAATTTAAGTTGTATAGCCTCATAACTCTTGGTCTAATAACTTATTGCGATGTTCTTGTCGGATTGTTCACTCTCTGGTAGATCATCTGTTCGACTGTCTATCTGATCCCAGAATACATATGACTTTATGAATTGTATGAAAGGCCATGATCTGACCCGTGGAAATTATATGAAAGATCAGGATCTGGCCCCTAACACTTACATGAAACTCCAAGATCTGGCCTCTAACAATGGCAAGGAATGACCATGATTTAGCCCATGGCAAGATGTTAATGTAAGACTATGATTTGGCCCATAGCATTCACTCGAGGTTGGAGTAGACTCGCCATTTTATATATGATTGTTTTTTATGTTTTATGCTTGTTGATAGGAGATTTGGTTGGTTGATGCTAGAGCCGAAAGCTTCGTGTTGATGCATTGTATATATGATGGAATATGTGGTATACTGGGGATTCACCAAGATTTATGCTAATAGTTGTGGATTAAATATTTTGTAGGTTGTATGTGAGAAGAGCTCGACGGGACTGTACACATGCATCGAAGATATTTGTTTCCGTGGTTTTGTAAACTTAACTCTAATAATGCATGGTTTCAATCAAAAAAATGTTAGTCAATGGTTTTTGAAGAAAATGTTTAATTGGTTAATCTATTTTATGAACAAAAATCTTTCTGTAATTCTTTAGAACGTTACAAGTAGCCACTTATATCTACAAATGCTCATAAAGCACAACACCAACCAAAGAAAGTTGAAGGACTACTAGTAATTGGTTTGGTCAACCATGGTAAGATATTTAGTGTTCAAGATGTTATACAAAACTCGTTTTTTGTTCAAGAAAATTGTGCCTAGGGCATTTCAAGGCTAAAGTTCCAATGAGTCCGAGGCGGCCTAAATGATTTTGAGGCTTTGGAGATGGCTCATGAGATGTAACTAAATATAAAAAACTTCGAGAGCATGATCCAATTATAATAGGTATTAATAAGGTTTTTAACTCAACATCTTGCATTATGAAAAATATAGACAAAGCTCTAACTTAAAAAACATTTTAAACAAATCGCGATAACAAAACCTTCCAAGTAAAATGACTTAACGTCCTCACAAGGTTCTCCATTTGTGGGGTTAAAATTAATAACACGACAAGACAAAAATACATAATATGAAACGAAATTTGGATAAAACTGAAATTCAAATTCGTTTTTGTGTCGTGTTATCGTCAAGTGTAAAAACACGATGTCGTGTCATGTTTAAAATTCGACACGAAATTGACACGATTTAACATTTGTTTTTCGTGTTTGTCATGTTATGTATGATCAATGTTGTAAAAATCCTGATTAGGTCCCGATTAATCTCTGATTAATCCCTACGCGCTACCCGACCGATTAGAGGACGCCTAACGATTAATCCCTTCATACAAAATGACTGAAATACTAGAAAATGATGAATTTTTAACACGTTAAAGAAATTCTACTCAATAGAAACCATTTGAGGAATGATTAATGTTGTATTAATCATATTAACCTATGTTATTAAAGATATTAGTGGTATTTACGAACATTGTTTTAATATTAGTCATATTCAAATTTTGAAAATTTAACGAGTTAGCAATTAATGGTCCCCGATTAATCTTCCGATTTATCATCGCCTAATCGGTTAATCCCTTAACCACAGTCCACTTGCTAGCTAACGTCGAACGTTTTTAACAACCTTGTGTATGATTAAATATTAATTACTTAAATTAATTGTTATATTATGTTATCTTTGTCGTGTCGTGTCGTTTTTGTTGTTTTTTTAATGGGTTCGTTTTCGTGTTAATTAAAAAAACATAGCATAGTATCATGTAATGTTTGTGTTACATAAAACTTTGTCGTTTCGTGTTAAACAAAAATACGATACGATGATCCATTTTGACACCCCTATCTATTTGACATATGAGCTCAATTCATTTCATTTCAAGCGAAAACTATTCCTAAATCATCATTTTAGAAAACACTTACTCATCATACAACCACATCGTAATGCACATTTCTCAAAGCATTCAAACTACATGAACATAGACTAAAAGATCAACTCTCAAATCTCTCATTAGCGAGACCATATTTAAGTATAAGAGAAAAGCTCAAGAAAGTTAACAAACAAAAATTACAAGAAAATTAAACACATCGATTATCATTCTTGCAAACAATTAACTATTCACAGCCCTGTCTCCAGCCTCACACCACCGACCGTCTCTGACCACATACCCACCCGGTCTCTTTCTATGTGCTATTGAAATGTTGGTTATTTAATTTTCATTTCATCGTGATTTTTCAAATTCTTTTTGATGAATAAGATGAAAAAAAAAATTATTTGACAACACACATTTGTGTGTATTTATATTGTAAAAGGAAGAATTTAGTGGGATTTGGAATATACCAAATAGTATAATTCTACCAATTAGCTAAAATTTAACTTTATTTTTAATGTGGTGTTATTGTAAGTTCAACAAATATATTTTGATTTTGATATATAAAAAAGTCAGCTTATAAAAAGAAAGATGTTAAATTAAAGTTTTTTTTTTTTTAGAACGGCATTTATTTTTACTAAATAAGGGTTTTATATATTTTTTTCCCCAAATGTATTACTATTTGTTGAAAAAATATAAATAAATTTTGAGTTTTTTTTTCATATTTAATGAATCATGTGTGTTTATATTCCTTTTTTTTTATTGAGAACAAAATTTAAAATTTTACGTTAAATAAATATTCGTTATTAATAGTCATCAAATTTAATATTTGTGACATAACATTACAATGATGTATGAGTAGATGATAACTAAGTTTGTAAAAGAATGTGTACAAAATGTGCACCGGTTTTGTTAGTCTAAGAATTTATTGTATTTTACTTTTTATAAACAATTTATTTACTATTTGTGACAATGATAAATTTGTTATTTTATATTTTTTAAATTTGAATGCATATTAATTAAACAATATAAGGTTGTTTCTTATTGACAAAGAATTTAAGTTGTCAATCTTATAAGGAAAATCTTCAAAAAAGTCCCAAACTTTTGGGAAAAGTTACACTTTTGTCCCAACATTTTTTTTTTTGAACAAAAAAACCCAGGAAACCGGGTAAATTGAACATTTCGGCCCTATTTTACCGGTGACCTTCATTTAGCCGGTTAAATTGGCTTATGTGGCAAGGACTTGCTGAGGTGGTTGGTGAGTCATTTAATGGCCTTGTATTAAACTCTAAATATAGTGGAAAACTTCATTCGTGCCCTAGCAGACAACGATTGAAGCAGGAGCAGTAGAGGACCAAGACAAATGTCTTCTTCGTCTTCTTCATCTTCAATGAATCGTCTCAGAAAGAGGTGCTACTGTGGTGATCCTGTAGGAAGATGGACTTCATGGACTCCATTAAACCCAGGAAGAAGGTTTATAGGATGCCCAAATTACCAGAATGGACTCAAAGATTGCAAGTACTTTCGTTGGGTGGATCCTCCTCTACCAAGCCAGTGGTATGCAGATCTGTTATTAGTATTACACAACAATGTCGATTTGGAGAACCATCGAATATTTGGGGAGTTTGGGCAAGAACAACCAGCTGGGAACTTTTTTGGAGACGTTGTGGAACAACCAATGGCACAACAACCAATTGCACAACAAGCAGTGGAAGGAGGAAGATGGAAATCATTGCTTTATGTCTCTGTGGTTTTTTTTGTGTTTTTGTTGGTTATGTTGATGGATTGGTAGGATAGAAAGTTGTTTTAATGTATTTTGGTTGTGTTTGTTTTGGTTATGACTAAGGGTTGTTAGTTTACTATGAATGTAGTATCTTGTTACTCATATGATTATGAATGAAGTATCTAGTTTATGTATGAACTTTAAATGTATTGATTGTAATCAATGAATGGAATCAAAGTATGACTGTAATAAGTTAATAATGGACTTCATACACAAACGAATCAATACATAATGGAGTCAATCATGCATGACCGGAATCATGCATAACTAGATATGGCTTTCAACCTTGACAGGTATGGCTTTCAAGAATGGATGGCCACATTCATGGGAAGATTTTGAAGGTTTAGTGTCTGAAATGACAATTTTACCCTTACATCAATTTTAACATAAGAGGATTATGGAGGCAATTAAAAGAAGGGGAAAATAAAATAGAACATGTAGTAATATTAACCAAAGCCAGAACAAGTTTAACATAAGAGGACCGGAATCAAGCATGACCGGAATCATGCATGACCGGAATCAAGCATGACCGGAATCATGCATAACTAGTATCCATATAAGCAAACATTGTAAGCACAAGTAATGTATGCATGACTGGAATCTATAAAACAAGGAATCAATATAACCAAAGGGAACATAAACATTGTTAATCATAGAACATGTAGTAATATTAACCAAAGCCAAACAAGTTGTATGGCAAGTTGTGTAAATGCCCAAAAACATGATCAAGGGGCCCAAAGCCTATAGTTTATATGGATGTAAACAAAAGGGGCTATCAACAAAAGGGGCTATCAACATTTTCCCAAACCCAAAAGTTTTATACATGTTCTTAACAAAAGTAGGGATCAGAAACACCCTAATCTAGACCAAGGGGGTTGGATGAACTCATCCCCTTTCCATTCTTGACAGCTACCACCTTTTGCAACTGGATCTTTGTTATCCTTTCCGAAGGCTTCCTCCTCCTGACTTGATTCACTTTGCTCCTCTTTGTAGTCCTCTTTCTGACTTGATTCAATTGTTGTGTGCTAGGTATTTCTCTCTCTCCATCCATCCTTTCCTCATTCGTCATTACCTCACCCATCCCTGGCTCATCTATGCCATCCTCCCCATTCATCCTTTCCTCATCTCCAAGTACATGATTTGTAGGGAGTTCTTCAACTGTTATTTGGCTAGCAATTCCAACATCCTGTAACAAGCATAACAAAAAGACCAATTAGCAAGATTTAACATCACAAAATGAATAATGAGAAAGAAAGCATACTTGTGACATAGCAACATCCACATCTTCAATTTGTTGTACTTCTGCTTCAGTGAGTCCAAGACAGTCCATGATCTCTTCTGTAGTGTATAAAGATTTCCTTAGGTTGTCAATTGTTAAGCTAATTTCTTGTAAATCTGGACTTGCATCATTTTCACTCTCAACATTTGGAATGGCACCACCTCTATTGCCTCTTCCACTAGAGCCCCTACCACCACCTCTACTCCTTCCTCCACCAACCCTTCCACCAGCCCTTCCACCAGCCCTTCCACCACCTCTAGATCCTGTTTTAGTTCCTGACCAATTAACCAAATCAGGTTCCAACCTAGGCCTGCCCATTTTTTTCTTTGGTTGAGGTTCTGGAACCACTGTAGGATTCTTGCATGATGTTTTATTGTGTCCCCTTTGTAGACAATTTTTACACTGGACAGTTCTACCCTTGCTTGACACTTGAGAGTACTTGTCTTGATTTTCTGAAACATGTCTTCTTCTTTTAACACTAGGCCTTCCTGGCATCCTCCTTTCAATGGGTGGAAGGGGCTTAGTGTAGCTTGTTTCTTCCCATAAGATACTTCCATTAACTGGGTGTATATTCTGATCATAAGTTGCCTTGTAATTATTCTTGCTGAACCAACTACTTATAAAGTTAACTGGATCTTGATTGGTGTACAATATTGCCACTTGTGCATGCACACAAGGTATTCCTGAAAGTTCCCATAATCTACAAGCACATATTTTTTCCTTCAAGTTAACTCCATAGTTCTGAAACCCATTCCTTACTTCATATTCATTCACTCCACTTGGAACTGCATGCCAACTTCTGCAAACATATAAGATAGAACATAAGATGCAAACACATAAGATAGAACATGTAAAAACAAAACAATTGAGAATACTTACTTAATGTCTTCTCCAAATTCTTCCATCTTTGTTACCGCGGAAGGACAAACTTCACCAACCCAGTTTTCAGCTTCTTGTTTCAGATTGAAAGCCCTTTCCATCATGTAAAGCCTAATCTCTTCAAGCATAGTCAGCAAAGGTTTCTTTCTTGCGTCTACAATGATTGCATTGAAACACTCAGCAATCCCATTCTCTACAGCCTCACAAGCCAAGCCAGTAGAGAAATAAGCTCTGCACCATGAAGTTGGTTCCCTTGCCATGAGATGATCATAAGCAGCAGAACTTATTGCCCTAATTCTTTCCATATTAAACTTGAAATCTCCTTCTGTGGTAGATTTTGCAGCTGCCCAAAACATGTTTCTGAACTGCACTCCACTATAAACTTTTCTGAAATTGGCATAGATATGCCTTGCACATTGCCTGTGCTCAACATATGGTAGAATATCCTTACTAGCTTCAACAAGACCCTATAACATGAAAAAAAAAGTTAATTAGCAACACCATACATTATTGTAAATAATGAAAAATAAAGAGATAGTTACTTTACCTTGTGTTGGTCACTGATTACACACACACCCTTTCCACCCTGCAATCCAAGATCATCATTAACCAAATCCAGGAACCATTTCCAGTTGTTCTTGTTCTCTACATCAACAACTGCCCAAGCTATAGGATACACCTGATTATTGGCATCCCTACCTATTGCAGTTAACAATTCACCCTTACACTGTCCCTTCAAAAAAGAACCATCCAATCCTATTACCCTACGACATGCCCTTTTCCACCCCTCTCTTATTGCTTTAAAGCAAATGTAGAATCTATGAAATGTTGTGGTATTATCAGGGTTTACATTAACTGTAATCCTAACTGTGCTGTCTGGATTGGACCTCAGTAGCTCATGCCCATAATCCCAAACTCTTGCGTAGTGGTCATTCAAATTTCCATGAATTAATGACAGAGCCCTCATCCTTGATCTATAACACTTTGACCATGAAATTTTGCAATGAAATTTACTTTGTATAATTACCTGCATCTCTTTGCATTTTAAATTAGGTTTCCTAATCAACTCCTTCACAAATTTCCTAGCTAACCAGGTAGGATCCATAAGCCTTGAATTGTTAAAATTCCTAACACATTTATGAATGTCTATCATCTTTTTGACTTGGAAAGACCTTTCAGTAGTCATCCAAGAAGCCCTAACCACAAATGGACACTTCTCTGGATCACTTCCACATATTGCCACTAGTCTAACACTATCGCATTTTTTGAAACGGATTTGAAAACCCTTACTAACAGCATAGTTCGTCAAACACAGTTTCAGTTCATGTGGGGATTCATACCTTTCACCAAGCATTGGTCTCATTTTGTTCCATTTCACCTTTGGATTGTGGGTGGAATACTCAAATTCCTCATCACTACCTTCCTCGTTACTACCTTCCAGATAATCTTCATCTGATTCTTCTTTAGTGATTCCAGTTTGAGTATCGTTTCCAGTTTGAGCATCATTTTCAGTTTGAGCATCATCTACTGCCTCGTAATCGTCTTCTTCACATAGAATATTGAGAAATTCGTCTTTGCATCGGGAAGCTTGTTTCTTTTTGAAGTACGCATCCAGCTCCACATCTATTGTATCAAAATCATGGATGTCATCCAT